CGTCGGGCCCCGCCGGCTCCGCGCCGCGTTCAACAGCGACGTTAAATGCACCTTCTATTTTAATTACTTCATAACCCACCAAAGAGAGAGCAGTAATAACCGCGTTTGGGTGGCAATGTGCAACAACGGTGGGGGTGAGGGCTGCGGCGCTGCGTCACTGCTGCGGCCACAGCTCCCCAGGCTAAAGGGAAGGCGCGGGAGGCCCTGTTCTGCCTCTGCCCCTCCGAGCCCCCGGGACCGGGAGCAGGGGAGCGAGGGGCAAACGTTAATTTCCCCCCAAAAAATGAGCATAGGAGTAGTCTGGATAATTTTTAATTACTTCTCACATTTATTTGTTATTTTCATTTATTTACATTATTATCATGTGGTTTTACCAGATTTTTTTTTATTAGGGCAAATGTTTTTTCATCCCAGGATCACATGGCAGTAGCTATGGTCAAGAGGACGCCGCCTGCCAGCAGCACAGCTTGTGTTGTTATTGCAGCTACGGATAAAAATAAAAACCGAATGCCACAAACCAGCAGATACAGAAACAGTTAATCAGAAGTGAACTACTTTGTTCCGCTAACAGCAAATACAAGTTTCATGCAGAGGCACTCCAGATAACCCCCTGCGGAAGGAGAAGAGCCACAAGTTTCTTGGTGGAGACTGCATCAAAGTAAAGATGACATCTCTCTCAAGCAGAGAGTACTGGTTGTGGAAAGTCAACAAACTCAGTGGATACACACATTTGGCTTCATTCTTTCCTCTGCCAACACGCAGTCCCCTCCAGGTTTCTCTGGCCTTCTTTTTTGGCCCGTGACTTTGGAGACACCCCCTACTTTCTTCTACTGGAAGGTGAAGGACCTTGCCCCTGGCAGAAGCTGTATTCTGGACTGCAGGTTGTCTCTGTGTCCACAGTCTGTCCATCCTCTGTGCAGCTCTACCCCTTCTGGCAGCAGAGCTCAGGAGAAACTGTTGCCCCCAGCAAGGGTAGGATGGGGTAAGCAGGGATAGAGGGGCATGACATAACAAGCCAGGAGGCCAGAGAGGATTCACTAGACAGGGTTCTTGATACTGCCTTCCAAGACGCAGAAATTCTACAGGTCAGAAACCCAGTATCCATCTGATAGCACCTGGGAATCCTCCAGCCCAGGGGGCGTTCAGCAACAAGGGCAAAGATGCTTCAGTTTTGGAGTGCTGTTGTCAACCAGGCTGACACTGTATTGCTGGCTTCTGCCCCAAATTCCACCCCATCCACATGGACAGGGGCAGCTTCCAGCCCCACCCCACTCCCCTGCCAAGCAGGTGCTGTTAGCACTTGCCCTGCAAAGAGGCAGGAAGAGGCATTCAAGTGTTAGCACAGCACGTTACCCGAACAGCAGCTTATCTGAAGGAAAGGTGGCAGGGCAGCGGTGGCCTGGAAGTGGTGGCCATTTGGACCACGCTAGTCCAAGCCTTGTACCTGACATACAGTAAGAAGGGGAACGACAGTAGTCATGAGTAGGTATTGTCTTATCTTATTACCTGCCCCAGAGCACTGAGGTGTTTGTATCCCTTCAAGGGACTCAATATATTCACTCCCCAGCCATTCTGCATATGTCCTTCTCTCTCCTACTGGCACGATCTCAACAGCAGAGTCCTTAAAGATCAGGTTTTTTCCTTGAAAAGTTGAAGAATCAAACATTTTGAATCCATTTCCATTGTTATGTCCAAAGTAGTCCTGAAAGCAATACAAAAATTTCAGTACTTTGCAACATTAAATGCCGCATGACAGATGTTAGGAACTGTTTTGTGGATGAGAATGACAACTGCAGAATCTCTTGCGCACGTTTGCTTTTTAGACGCTCCAGCAGATTAGATACAGAATTCTGCCACCGGCAATTACAAGAACACCATTTGTGATTTTGGTTTTTTGTGACTATCTGGAAAGAGCTGTATTTTAAAAAAATTCTTTTGTCTAAATACTGTTGTGTAACGCAGCGTTTGGCTGCACAGGAGTTATAAAAATGACTGAAGCTTAGCATGGAGATGCTCAGTATGGACAGGAACCTAGCTGTGGCAGCCAGGCATGGTCTGCCTAGATGGTTTACCACGTACATGACTGCAGCATAAGTACACCCAGCAACGTTCTGTTGCATTCCTAGGAAAATTCCAGGATGGAAGAGTGTTAGCATGTACTCTACTTCTTGTAGACTTCAAAGTCACACAGTTTGGGAAAACATCTTAAGCTTCAGGAAAATTACTACTGCAACCAGTGGCTGGGCAAAAAGTCGAAGTCCCTTGTGCACGAGCCTGGTTTTACTAGGAGAATTACACTGCCTGTATCTTACCTTCTCCTTCCCGCTCCAACAACAGGGCTCTGCGCAGTGCACGTGCTGCCAGTCCCATGATGCAGGGAACATAATGTGGCAGTATGGTCCTGTGGTCTTTATCCCTGGTCTGTGTCAGACCACAGGTGACTCCCCCAGAGAATAAAGGGATTATTAATACCTGGGCTTTGTCCAGTAGTCCGTATACAGCAAAAACGCTGGTATCTGGGTGAACCATAATGGCCTGAGCTGGCACCTGAGCCAGGTGACACTCAGCAAACTGGGTCACTTCAGCACGGGCACCATTTGGACACAGCAACTGGAAATCACTGGACTTCAGGTTTTGGGCCCAACTATCAGTATTTTTACCTGAAAAAAGAAACTGGTCATTGTCATTCATTGAATGCTTTAGAGCAAAAAGGTTTGAGAAAAATAACTGAATTGTAATAGAGAGATAGGTAAAACTAAATACCATCTGTGTTCTCAAACACTGTCGAGTGCTTGACAAAGGCCACATCCCCAGAGTCCTGTGCCAGGCACCTTTGGGAAATGAGAGATAAAAATTCAATTCAAAGCACCTTTATGTGATTTTTTTTTTTTTTTTTTTAATAACTGATAGGTTTAGAATTCAATTTTTATTACATACATTCCTGCAAACAAATGCACTGGACCCTATGACAATAAGCAAAAACAGAGAAATGAAGCATCCTGAAAGAAGAGAAAACCAACATTTTTGAATACAGCTGGATTTTTTTTATTAAAAACACTGCGAGAAAGACAGAAAAATGCCAATACTAGATAAGCAGAGAAACAGAAAATATGTGATACTCAGTATTCCCCATCTGCTAGCAGCAGCTTTCACTCCTTTTTTAAACCATGTACAAAGTATACGCGTCATTAAGACTTTTCTGAATAAAATCCTTCAAGTGCAGAGTCAAAGGGTTTATCAAATTCTGCACATGTGCACATGCGCATGCTCTCATGTGTACTTTTTTTTTCCTTTCCAAGTTAGAGTGACCTTGGTGCTTGCAGTGACACTGCTTTTACAGCCCTGCACACGGAAGACATCTAGTTAATCTGACTGCAGGGTCTTGATCCAGAACGAAGTTCCGTTTCCCCTAATTTTCTGAAGCAGAAGTGGCCCCACATGCCAAGGGCACCCTAAAAATCTCCTCCTTTTCTACACCTGTGGTATCCCATTCCAGAAGGTTTCAGGGCAAAAGCATAGACCACCACACCTTCACCAGCATTCGCTATTTCCCATGTTGTATCGTGGTGCTGTCTAGCACATGACACAACAGGCACCGCAGACCGTTACAAGATTTTTTGCTAGGCCTGAAATGCGAAGTCAGTGGACAGAAGACATGCATGGCATTTGCTTCAGACAGCAAATAACACACAGATAAAATCAGCCTCAATTCAGCGAGCTGGTGAGCTAGCAAAGAGATGTAACTTCCCAGGTATTTTGGGTACTGTGTGCTCGCAGAGGACGCGTGGGTAATAGAGTTTAGTGGTGGTACCTTGAAATTGTTCTACAAGTGTTTTCAAGAAGCATTTCCTAAAATAAGAAGACATAAAGCTGTAACTGAGTTTATGTAGTACAAAATGTGAGGAAAGTTATTATTGCTGAGTTACCAAAAACGCATATATCTCACATGTACCTGGTTTAACACGAGCAGTTCTAATCAAAGGTCATGCCACCATGTGGCTGACACTGTCACACAGAGAACTGAGGACTCGGTAGGTGCTGTTCAGTACAGTCCCCAGCAGAGCAGGCTGTTCCCAACAGATTTTTCAGTACTCTGTACAGTGTAATTTGCCCCAAGCAGTGAATTATATACAAACTGGATGACCTCTCGTATCTAGTCAGGTTAGTCTGAAGATATCCAGAGTTGAAGGAACCTGGAAATCTGAGGCTGCATTTTAAGCTCATGTTAGTCACCTTCCATAACTCATTCTTTCAAAGAGGATCACCTAAGCATCACAGCCGGACACATCCCTATCTTGCATAAGACTGTAAACCTCCATTTTTCACCCAAATCCTAACCTTTCAAAATACCCAAAACTTTCCACATCATTCAATGAACCGAACACCTTCTCTATTTAAAAAAAACAGGTGATCTCCGTATGAAGTTTGGGCTGTATGGGCACTAATATCAAATGCACAACCTTAGAATATCAACAAGGCTCATACAGCTGGTAACAGCGTTTGCTGCTTATTCCTTCAGTGACCGGTAGCTAGCTGTGTCCATCAATGAGGCACAGCAGAGGATCTGGAGTTTGCCTGCAGGGCATGCATCACAGCAGAGCAGCTGGGCACAACTAAACAGATTTGCAAAAAGTAGTGACCTAAGTCTGGCACTTCAGTACTTACCAGGCAGCTATGTTACAGTCCCTTCCCCTGCAGGAAAAAGACTGCTCACTGCCAGCTCTGTTACATGCACCATTACCTTCAGAGGTGAAGGTCAGGAAAAGGAAGCGCCATTTCCATATCCAAGAGTTTCACAGTCTTTGGGTATGGCTCCCATATGTAGATGTCTGCTGCTACACAAAGTATTTATTCCATATTACGCTATTCCTTCCCTGTAACTTTAGCAAATCTTGAAGAGGATTTGGTATTGGAACATTGACCTTAGTTGTTTTGTTTGTGTTGTTCAGAAACTTGCCTTCACATACAGCCACCAGTGAGTAAGGACAGTGAAGACCCACTCCTGGCTCCCCCTCACTAGCCTGCCACTCAGCGTGGACTTCCAGCAGCCAGGTTCTGGCTACTATTTGCCTGCTTCCTTGCTAAAGCTCTCTATGGATGGCCCGACCATTCAGACAGTGGCAGACTCTGTCACACTAGGTTAAAGCAAGACTGGAGGCCGATGACAATCCACTTGGTCCTCACCAGGAAGGTGCCTATTGCTGTGTAAAGACAGACATGGATTTGGCTGATTGTCATCTGGCTGACTGCGGTCCAGGAAGCTGGCAAAAGGCTTTGACATGATCTAATGTCGTGCCCTATGACATACCTGTGATGCTGAAGACATCTGGGGATGCATGTCCCACTTCATTTACAGCACGTGCCATCTGACTGTAGCATCAATAACCGGTTTTTGCTGACTGGGACAGAAGATAGTTCCTCCTCGCATTTTGACAAGCTGACAGACTAAATAACAACCATATGTATTAATTACCTGAAGGCTCCACTGTAGCTGTAATAACGTTCTTGGCTACTTGCACTGCAGTTATTGTTTCCATGATCATCTCCAATACACAGTTGGCAGAGTTTTGGTGGGGAATTTTCTGGCTTAGCTGAAGGCACGCAGCTGGCGGAGAAAAACTCACTCACAGCTGGAGAAAGACAGACAAACCAATATAATGAGTGAAGAGCATGAGCTTTTTACAAGAAAGGTAGTTATACTGTCATGCAGTTATAACCAATGCAGATTTCAGTAGAACAGTAGAAACATGAGTTACAGCTGCCTTACTGGAATTCACAAACTACACTTTTAAAATACTTTCAAAGTACCATTTAGCTGATAAAGTAATAAAACCAAAGTGCCTCCTGAGAGACAGGAAACAGGCAAGCAAAATTTGAATCTGGAGTCTTGTGGTCATAGATCCTTTGCTTTTTGTGCTACATCAGTCCATTACTAAAACCAGTTTGAAAATAAATGCAATAGAATTCAGGACAGGGATACAGTTACTGCAGTGACACCCCAGAGCTGGAACTACCACCTAGAAGGGATACATCTGCATAGATGATGTGAGTTTCTGTGACTATCTTGTCATTGATATCTGACTTGGGGCAATATCCTCAAGCAAGAGCTGAGACAGAGAGATGTGAAAGCAGGATTTTCAAGACCCTATGAAAAACTTGAAGTTGATTAAATACAAAAAGCAATGGGCTCTTCAAATGCATTTCTGAAAACTGGAATAAACTTTTGCAGTTAGATACACTGGAGGCCATGGACATGCTGGAGAAAACAGGCTGACAGAAACCTCAAAGTTCAACAAAGGTGAATGCAGAATCCTGCTTTTAGGATGGAATAAGACCATGAAAGGCTGGGGACTGGCAGGCTGAAAAGCAGCTCTGAAAAAAGGGACCTGGGGATCCTGGTGGACAACAAGTTGACCAAGAGTCAGCAGCATGCTTTTGTGCCTATGAAAGCTAATGGCGTACTGGGTTATGTTAGTGGAACACTCACAGAATCGCAGGATGGCAGGGGTTGGAAGGGACCTCTGGAGATCATCTAGTCCAACCCCCTGCTAAAGCAGGTTCACCTACAGCAGGTTGCACTGGATCACGCCCAGGCAGGTTTTGAATATCTCCAGAGGAGGAGCCCCCCCCCCCTCTCTGGGCAGCCTGTTTCAGTGCTCTGCCACTGTCAATGTAAAGAAGTTTTTCCTCATGTGGAGGTGGAACTTCCTGTGCTCCAGTTTGTGCTCGTTGCCCCTTGTCCCGTCTCTGGGCACCACTGAAAAAAGCCTGGCCCCATCCTTTTGACACCCACCCTTTAGATATTTATAAGTGTTGAAGGGGAAGTGATTATTCTCCTCTGACATCTGTGCCAAGTTTTGAGCACTCAGTGTTACAAAGACATTGACATTCTAGAGCAAATATGGTAGAAGGAGAGTAGGATGCTCAGAGGGCTGGAGCACATGACATAGCAGGCCGAGAGCTGGGTTTGGTCAGCCTGGAGATAAGACAACTAACAGTGTATTGCTGTCTTCATTTACGTAGTGGGTTGATGAGAGGCAAAAGACAGAAGTTACAAGAAGGAAAAGTCTGATTAGATACAAGAAAAAAAAATTCTTTATCCCGAGGATGGTCAAACAGTAGGACAGGAGTCCAGTAAGTTTGTGTGTAATCTCCATCCTAGTTGTTACTCAGAACCTGCCTGAACATGGCCCTGGGCAAACTGATCTAACTGGACCTGCTTTGAGCAATTGGTTGGACTAGATGACCTCCAAAGGTCTCTTCCAACCTAAATTAGCCAATGATTTTGTGATATGGGAAAGAGAGAAAGGAATCATAGAATCACAGAATGGTTTGGGTTGGAAGGGACCTTAAAGACCATCTAGTTCCAGCTCCCCTACCATGGGCAGGGTCACCTTCCACTAGACCAGGTTGCTCCAAGCCCCATCCAACCTGGCCTTGAACACACCCAGGGAAGGGGCAGCCACAGCTTCTCTGGGCAACCTGTTCCAGTGTCTCACCACCCTTGTAGTGAAGAATTTCTTCCTAATGTGTAATCTAAATCTCCCCTCTTTCAGTTTGCAACCATTACCCCTCATCCTATCACTACCCTCCCTGATAAACAGTCCCTCCCCACCTTTCCTGCAGGCCCCTTTTAGGTACTGGAAGGCAGCTATAAGGTCTCCCCCAGAGCCTTCTCTTCTCATGTTAGATGTAACATTCTCAATGTGACCCCTCCATTAGTCTACTCTGGTAATAAACTTCAAATCATTACATTAAAAACATAACATCCCTTCATGAACAGGTAAGCTTAATATAGAGCTAGGAAATAGCAAAATTACTTCCCTAATGAAAGTTATAGTTAGACTGTTACTGAATTTTTGATACTTAGTACTGCTGTCTTACCTTTAGGAATATTACAGTCTCTGTTCTTAATAACGCCTCTCTTAATTAGCATACCAATGGGGATATTCCATCCAGCAGTTCTCCCCAGTCCTGTGTGGCAGGACTTCTTCCCTTTCAGGTCACTGATGGTGAATGCATTGGACGGATTCCGTTTCACTAATGCCACAGCATAGTATGCACTGCTGTTGTCATCAGCTTGCAGAAAAAGAACAGGATGCATTACAGCTTCCCTTAAAAATTCCCACTGCTTAGTGATCATCTACAGATCCATTACGCTTACATGGTGCCAGCTTCAATTGCACCAACACTCAGCTAGTCAGGAATTATGAATGTACATGTACTTATTCTTCACTTCTACTACTTCACAATGTTGCATTCACTTATAGCCTGTATACTGGTACTGCTATGCGCTTGAACGGAATAATCTAGCGATGAACATGAAACTGTTCGTGTTAACATCAGCTCTTATAAATACATCCCTCTGAAAACCAACATTTAGGTCATTAGTGACTTCATAAAACCACTTTAAGAAGTTATTTTTATGGGAAAACTCAAACCTGTATTAAAATTTCCATGAGTTTTGCAGCATATTGAAATTCTGCCTTAGTGTCCACAAGTCCTCTTCTCATCAGTGACTGAAGCAGTCACATTGACAGGAAGAATTTGTTTCAAACTAGAATATACTGTGTAATTTATGTACTTTTGCTTATGTTCAAAATATTTTGATTTTGCAAATACTATTTTTTTCCATTGTAAATATTTTTTGTGGAATTGAAAAGATAAATAAGGAGGTACAAGACTCAAAACTGCCAAAGACTCAACCTGCTCCTGCAGCAGGACAGCTAAAAGTTGCCACAAAGTGACTGTGTAGGACCCTATCCCATACTTATTTCCTCCTCTATCCATGAAGTAAGGATAATAATTCTCATTTCCTTTACAAACAGATTTCCCAGCAGGCCTAGGGAACAGAGGCTGTGCTTTTAGAGCTGTTTTCAAACCACCTGGAAAAATCAGGTCTATATTTGTTTCCTGACCTTCTTACCAGAGTAACTTTCTCCAGCAGCTGGTACAAGGCCATATGTCTTCCCAGCTGTGTAAATATCAGCTCCACCCAGAACTACAACATCACTTTCCTTCTTCTGAAAAATAAAATTTAGGATTTCTGTGAAAAAAAACAGGAGATACCATCCTTGCTACAATGATGACACCTCTAGTGTCATACCTGTTGTATCTCAAAGGGCAAGTCTGACAGCAAAAGAGCAATACACCGCTAAAGAAAACCCCCAAACCCTGCATAAAGCATCATCAGTGAAATGGGGACAGGAGATTTCACACGTACAGGCTTGAGCTAGATGGGCAACAATGCCCTCATCACAGCTGAAGATTATCAGAGTTCAGGCCCATCCATACCACGTGA